CTTTTGCGTTGGAGTCTCACTCTGTCGCCCAGACTGGAGTGCAGTGGCCGCTCCCGGCCACCACAGCCTCGACCTGCTGGGCTCCGGCGATCCTTCCGCCTCAGCCTTCCGAGTAGCCAGAACTACAGGCATGCGCTACCACGCCCGGCTGATTTTTTGATTTATTGTAGAGATGCGGTCTCGCCAAGTTGCCCAGGTGGATTTCAAACCCACGGGCTCAGGCGATCCACTCACCTCAGCCTCCCAAAGCGCGGGATTACAGGCTGAGCCACGGAGCCCGGCTTGCCTATAATTTTAAAAATTAAGAATAACATCAGGCTGGGCATGGTGGCTCATGCCTATAATCCTAGCACCTTGGGAGGCCGAGGTGAGAGGATTGCCTGAGCCCATGGGTTCGAGGCCAGCTTGGGCAACTTGGGGAGACCTCATGTCCACAATAAATCAAAATAATTGCCAGGCATGGTGGCACACACCTGTAGTTCCAGCTACTTGGGAGGCTGAAGCAGAAGGACTGCCTGAGCTAATTCCAACTCAAAAAAAAAAAAAAGAATAATATCATACATATAAAAAAATAAAAATGTACACACACAATTTAAGAAACATAGTAATAAAAATAAACACTCATGTACTTACTTCACAGTTTAACAAATGGAACATTAGCAGTGCCTTAGAAGTTTTCACTGTGATCTTCCTTCCATCCTGCCAGTCATAACCACTAAACTAAATTTTGTGTTACTTATTACTTGCTTCTCTATTATTTTATCATCTATATATGAATCCTTAAACAATATATTTTTAAAAATCTGCCTGTTCTGGAATTTGTACAAATATAATCACATTGTTTGCATTTTTCTGTGACTCATGTCTTTCATTCAATTTTTTTCCCTCCATTTACCAGTGTTACCAGTGTGGAGATTGTTCATTAATTTTCATTGCTGTATTATATTCCAGTGTGATTATATATGTAATATAAACTGTATGTATGATGACCATTTGAAATGCTTTCAGTTCACAGCAAAGCAATGCTACTGTGAACTTTTATGTACAAGTATCCCAAAGACAAGACAGTCACTCATCTCTTTGTGGAGTTGCTAGGTTTTGGAATATGTGTTGTCTTCAACTGTTTCAAGTAATGTCCATCCTTTCTCCAAAGTGGTTGTAATAATTTACTCCAGCAGTGATTGAGGTTTCCCAATTTTGGCATGTAATAGGATCTCACTGAGGTTTTATTATGCATTTCCTTGAAATTGGGCATTTCTTCACATGTTTATGGACCACCGTATTTCTACTTTTGTGAAATTCCTATTGATGCTTTTTGCCTATTGCCAATTTTTCTATTGGGTGTTTTCTATTTTTATTGTTTATTTGTTGATGTTCTTTACATATCTTAGATACAAGAAAGAAAGAAAGAAAGATTCTTCATGTAATTAGCTGAATTTATAAATTTTTTTCTTCATGGTCAGTGCTTTTGTGTATTGAGACATTACCACCTCCCTTAAGTCATTTCTCCTAGGTAATGACCAACACTACTAGGTTCTTGTGAATTCTTAGGGGACAAATAAAGAAAATGTGTATTTTTTTTTTTTTTTTTGAGTTGGAGTCTCACTCTGTCACCCAGACTGGAGTGCAGTGGCACACTCCTGGCCGCCGCAGCCTCGACCTGCTGGGCTCTAGCGATCCTTTCTCTTCAGCCTTCCAAGTAGCTGGAACTACAGGTGCATGCTACCACGCCCGGCTAATTTTTGATTTATTGTAGAGATGAGGTCTTGCCAAATTGCCTGGGCAGATCTCGAACCCGCCAAGCTCAGGCAATCCACTCACCTCGGCCTCCCAAAGTGCTGGGATTACAGGCTGAGCCACTGAGCCCGGCCAAAAATGTGTATTTTTAAAGAAAATTAAAAATAATAATTCTCTACCTTTATTTCAAAATAAAGGTAGTTTAAAAACCACAGTGTCTTTATTTCATTCATTTTTTTCGATGCTGAAAATCCTGATATCTAATGCAATTACTAATTAGCTCTATTTTACTATGTTTACCTTTTCATCCAACTCTCATCAAATGTCTAAATACCAATACCAACAGTATAACTAAAATATGATTGTTGCACACTGTTTAAAGAGTTTTTGTTTATTTTTCAGTTTTTGCTTTGTTTGTGATTGTCCTTGTCCTTAAGACCCATTCCACTAAAGATGTGTGGCAACAACCACTTGGCACTTGAAACAGTCGCTCTCTGTGTGGTTATGCCATCAATGTGTTACACAGTTGGATGTATTTGTGTACATTTGTCTTTAATTTTTAGGGATTGCTTGTCTTCTTTGTGATTAAATTGTGTTTTATAATTAAGAACAACATTTTACATGATTCCAAAGTCAAACCTAGCAAGCAAGGTACATTCAGAGAAATATGGCTTTTCCCTCCACTTCCTTGTAAGGTGATTATTCATCTTTTACTTTTGGGTTTTTATTCTGTTATGATTGTTCCTTCTCAAAAACATAAGTAAATCTACCTATCATCTGTCAATCTTTATTTCCCTTTCTTATGTACAAGGTAGCACACAATACACATTGTTCTTCACTTTACTTTTTTACACTTGATAACAAATCCCAAAAGTCACTCCATAATAGTATATGGAGCCCTATCTCATTTCTGTTTACAGCTGCATCATTTATGCTGCCAGTCCTCTTGGTTTGTATTTGTCTTCCAGCCTTTTGCTATTACAAATTATCTGTAAATGAATTGATTTGCATATATGCCATACTGTATTTTTACCAGTGTATCTTTGTGATAATACTAGAAGTGGGATAGCTGGGTCAAAGGGTAAATGAGCACATTATTTTGGTACAGTGCCAAAATTCTTGTTCGTGGTGGATGTACCATTTTGCATGCTCACCAGTATTTTAGCGTTGCCAAGAGTTTGTTTTCACACTTTGGAATTTTTGTCAAATTGATAAGTGAGAAAGTATTTATTAGAATGGCTTTTATTTGCATTTCTAATCATATGAGAAAGCTAACTTATATGATTAAAAATCATGTGCATCATTGTTCTATGAATTGTCTTTGTGTGTGTGTGTGTGTGTGTGTGTGTGTGTGTGTGTGTGTGTGTGTGTGTGTGTGAATCTCACTCTTTCGCTCAGGCTGAAGTGCGGTGGCATGCTCACGGCCACTGCAGCCTCGACCTGCTGGGATCCTGCGATCCTTCTGCCTCAGCCTTCCAAGTAACCGGAACTACAGGCACTCACTACCACACCCAGCTAATTTTTGACTTATTGTAGAGACGAAGTCTCGCCAAGTTGCCTGGGCTGGTCTCACATTCACGGACTCAGGCAATCCACTCACCTCAGCCTCCCAAAGTGCTGGGATTATAGGCTGAGTCACTGAGCCTGGTCTTTTTTGTATATTTTGCCAGTATATATATACATATATTACCCCCAGAAAACATAATAAACTTAATCTTTGGAAATATATCAGATGGTACCTTGGAAGCCTCAGGGATTCAGTAAAGCTTCTCCCACAAATTAGAATATGTGTGCTTGTTTGTGTGGGTATGTGTTTATATAAGTGTTGCAGAGTGTAAGAAGCATGAAACTTCTACATGTCTTGTCTTAATGAGCGTCTAGCCTAACACTCTGGCTTTATCAGGTTAGTTAAAAAGCCAATACATTCATACTGTGCTTTCAGATTTACTCCTGAGCGCAATATGATGAAAGATTGGAGAAACACAGAAACAAGTTGTTCTATTTGCGTGTTGACATTGAATTTTGTGTCAGTGAGTTAGATGCCACAATAGGATCGATAGGACAGTCCTTTTCTGCAAGGAATTTATACTCTAGTCCTAATTTGGTCTGCTTCTAAATTGGAATGCTACTTCAAAGACAGTTTCAATATTTTTGTCCTACCATATAGATTCTGAGCAGCCTCTTAAAAATCTTACCTTTGTCCCTTCTAATGTAGCCCTCTTCATTGCTCCTACATATAGCCCATCCATTTGTGCCATCACATAGCCTGTATGTCTCCAGAATGAATCATCCTTGTACGCTTTGATGTTTTTCCGGGTCCACCGATCTTGCTTCCTGGAAGAAAATTATATTTATACTGGAGGTCTCAATGTTTACTCTTTCAAAACGAAGTCAAACCGGGCCTCTAGAGATTATCTACTCAGACACTTACGCCAGTATGATTTAAATTCTCAATCTTGTAACATGCCAGTCACACAAAGGCTCTCAGGGAAAATCCCAAATGATTTCTAATTTCCCCCTAGGACTATGGCTCTTCTTTTATAGCCTCTTTTGTGCTCCAACTATAACCAAAACACAAGGGTGATCTTTACCTCCCTGTGATATTGAAAGCCATAACAACTGTCAAGGATGAACCATCCAAATGCATTTCATATAAAACCATATCTCACTAAATCAGTAAAGATAAGTCGATTAACTCTACTTTTGTATGTAGAAGTGGTAAATTTTTTTAAAAAGCTCTGAAGGACAGGTTTACATCTGTATGTATTTCTCTCAGATCATTTTCATGGTCATTCCACCTCATTTATTACTAATAACTGCCTAAACACTTTCATCCTAGCATGCTTAACAAAAAGTCTTATTTTTCATAGTCCTTTCATTCTATCTTTCTTCTTTCAGTGCTCTGCACTTTACATAGGATTATTTGATATGTTGTGTCCTGAAAGCTATTTCTGATTTGTTCAGGCTACGGCTATAACAAACTTAGAATAACGCAGTGTCATTGCTTCATGGCATCTAGCCCAGGGGTTTTTAGCTGATGCTCTGTCGGATTTTTAGCATTTCATGAAGAGGTTTTCTGTCCAAGAACTTTTCTGTCCCCAGATTAATCTTCTGTCTTCCTACAAATTTCAGCACATTTAAAATTTTAATCTTCAGAAAACTTTATTGCAAAGACAATATTCAGATGGAGTTCATAATTATGACTCTAGATATTAGCTAACACCCCAGCTAGGATGAGTCACCAGGCCCATGAAAAAGAGACACCTTGAAGATGGAGGAGAGAGTGGCTTTCATGTGGAAGGGTTCCAGGGATTTAACTTGGCCTGCGTTACCTTGATGGTGGTATTCCTCTAGCTGTGTTAGCAAGTGATAGTCAACCCAACCCTTGAAAGAGCCAAACTTAAAGGACATGTTGTTTGCAACCAGTTTTTATGTCATTACCAAAAATATTCTATACTACAAGAATAGTGCTAAAGTCTTGCCAAAGGGGTGGTAAAAGAAACTGGCACAGGAAAAACTGTTGTTTAAAATGACAGATTCAGGCCCTGCAGCCTTAAGAACAATGAGAAGAGGAAAGCTATTGTACATACTTCATAAAATCCTGCACTTTATCCATGATGGAAGGTTTCTTGATCAGCTGTGGGTAGAGGTTTGTGAAGTGGTCATACATGTGTCTGAAATGATAGACAAAAAGTGGTACATTTATATTTTTCTTGGATATCTCTAGCATGGTAAACTAGAATGTCCCCTATTACAAACCTATATATTTATATTTTTTTAATAGATCAAATGTACAACTTAAAATTGGAAAATATTTTCAACATATGGAAAAGAATAGAATATAACCCAAAATATCCACAACCCAATTAAATCATTATATTTTGCCATATTTGCCACATATTTTCAAAAATAAAGCAGAATATTAGATAGGGTTGAAGCCCGTGTGCACACCTTCCTGACTCTAATTTCCCTTCCTTCTCCCAAGAGGTAACTACAATCTTGAATGTGATATATTATTCCCATGCATGTTTTTATATAGTCACTACACACATTTAATCATAAATTATAGTACTATTTATCATGTTTCAGAAAAAATATAAATAAGATCATGCTGATCTATCTAGCTGGTTTATTTTTCTTAATATGATTTTCAAAGAAATATATGTTATCATCTGCTGCTTAAATTTCTTCTTTTCAACTGCTGATGGTATTCCATGACTATGCAACAGTTCATGTATGAACTGCCAAGATGGACATTTAACTAGTTTTTAATTTTTCATTATCATAATGCAACTTCAAACTTGTGTATATCTCTTTTTACTCATCTGAACATTCTTCTAGGATACACACACGGACAGACACACATATATGTAAGATTGCTGTGGTGAATATATATACCTATAAAGTTACTAAATATTGCCACACTGTTCTCCACAGTGATTGTGCCAATTTACATTCTCCCCCACTATGCATTAGACCTCCCCTTCTTCCACATCTTCACCAACATTTGTTATTGCCAAACTTTCAATTGTCAACAATTTGATGGGTTTTAAATAGTTCCTTCATTTGATTTCCATTCCTCACAGAATTATTGGGTATTTGGGTTTCTTTATTTTGAAACTTACTTAAAAAATTAAAAGGGTCTCATATGCTGTACAGTAAAAATTTTTTTAATTGATGAAAATAGTCTGTTTACATTTACTGTGATTTTAATATGCTTGAATTTATTTTTATAACCTTTCTCTGTTTCCCATTTACCATCTCTTTCTTTTAAGTTTTCTCTGTTGGATAATACTTTTGTTATTCTCCTTTTCACGTCTGACTTAAATACTATAGAATGAATTTCTATTCTTTTAATGAGCATCATTTAAAAAACATTCTTAACTATATTTTTTCTCATAAAGTTTAAATTTTATATTCTTCCCTTTAAACATAAAGCACATTTTAGCAAACTTTTTCCATTAACAGTCCCCTTCATGCAATTGTTCAAAGATTTAGTTTTACCTTTCTAATTTAAAAAGTTTATATTTTCACAATTATAAACAGCCTGGGCATTATTATTTATGCATTTATTTTATTTGAATTTTATTTTATTTTCGATTCAAGGGCACATGTACAGGTTTGTTACATAAGTCTATTTCGTAATGGCAAAGTTTGGGCTTCTACGAGGACCTCCTGGCCAGGTGGTAAGCATAGTAGATTAGTGATTTTTCAGCTCTTATTCTGCTCTCTCCCTCCCAACTTCAGTAATCCCAGTGTCGGTTGTTCACATCCTTGTGCCCATGTGTGCTCAGTGTTTAGCTCTCATCTATGAGTAAGGACATGAAGTATTCAGTTTTCTATTTCTGTGATAATTTGCTTAGAATGATGGCCTCCGGCTGCACCCAAGTGGCTGCAAATTATACTGTTTTTTTAAAGGCTGTGCAGTATTCCATGGTGTATATTTTACATCATTTTCTTTATCCAGTCCACTGATGATGGGCACCTGGGTTGGTTCCCTGTTTTTACTATGGCAAATAGTGCTACAATAAACATACAAGTACAGGTGTCTTTTTGGTAGAATGATTTTTGTTTCTTTGGGTATATAACCAGTAGTGGGACTGCTGGGTTGAATGGTAAATCTATTTTTAGTTCTTTGTCTAGATTGCTTTCCATGAGGATTGTACTAGTTTACATTCCCACTGACAGTGTACAGTGTACAGGTATCAACAAACATCGGTTTTTGCTTTTTTTGTTTTTTTGAGTTGGAGTCTCCTTCCATCGCCCAGGTTGGAGTGCAGTGGTATGCTCACGGCCACCCCAGCATCAACCTGCTGGGCTCTGGCAATTTTTGTGCTTCAGCCTTCCAAGTAGCCAGAACTACAGGTGCGCGCTACCACACCCAACTAATTTTTTTGATTTACTGTAGAGACAAGGGCTCTCCGAGTTGCCCGGGCTGGTCTCGAACCCGCGGGCTCAGGCAATTCACTTGCCTCGTCCTCCCAAAGTGCTGGGGTTACAGGCTGAGCCACCAAGCCCAGGCTGTTTAAAAAAAAAAAAAATTCTAATAATAGCCATTCTGACTGTTGTGAGGTCCTATCTCATTATGGTTGTAATCTGTATTTCTCTGATAATTAGTAACATTGAACATTTTTTCCACATGTTTGTTGGTTGTTCGTATGCTTTCCTTTGGGAAGTGTCTGTTTATACCCATTGTCCACTTTTTAATGGGGTTATTTCTTTTTTTCTTATTCATTTGTTTGAGTTCCTATAGATTCTGGATATTACGCCTTTGTCAGCTGCATTGCAAATATTTTCTACCATTCTGTGAGTTGTTTCTTTACTCTGTCTATGATTTCTTTTGTTATGCAGAAGCTTTTTAACTTAATAAGGTCCCGCTTGTCAATTTTAGTTTCTGCTGCCTTTACTTTTGAGGACATGGTCATGAATTCATTGCCTAGACCAACATTTAGGAGACTGTTTTCTACTAAGATTTTGTAGTTTAAGGTCATGTGTTTAAGTCTTTAATTCATCTTGATTCAGTGATATCCCTATCAATTGTTTTTTTTCATGTATGGTAAGAGGAAGTATTCCAGTTTCATTCTTCTGTGTAAGTTTTCCCAGCACTATTTGTTGAATAGAGTGCCCTTTCCCCATTATTTGTTTTTTGTTGATTTTGTCAAAAATGAGTTGGTTGTAAATGTACGGTTTTATTTCTAGGTCCTCCATTCTGTTCCATTTATCTATGTGCCGATCATTTTTGTACCTATATCATGCTGCTTTGGTTACTGTAGCCTTGCAGTAATGTTCTTTCTGCTAAGGATAGCTTTGGCTATCAGGCTCTGTTTTTTGGCTACCATATGAATTTAAGTATCGTCTTTTCTTGGTCTATGAAAAATGATGCTGGTAATTTGATAGGGATTGCACTAAATCTGTAACAGATTTGGTTTTTAACAGATATTGATTCTTCTAATCCATGAGCATGAGCTATTCTTTTATTTGTTTGTGACATCTTTGATTTCTTTCAGCAGCATTTTGTAGTTTTCTTTATAATAAGAAATCTTCTATCTCTTTTGTTAGATGTATTCTGAGGTATTTTTTCTTTTCTTTTTTTTTAAATTTGGGTTTCAGCCTTTTTGTCAGTTTATAGAAATACAATTGATTTTTTTTCTTTTCCCTTTCCTTTTCTTTCTTTCTATAGAGATGAGGTCTCATTGTGCTGCTCAGGCTGGTCTTGAATCCTGGGCTCAAGCAATCTTCCCTCCCAAAGTGCTGGGATTATAGGCATGAGCAATGGTGCCCAGCTGCAATTGATTTTTGAGCATTGATTTCGTATACTGAGACTTTACTGAAGTCATTTACCAGTGCTAAGTTTTTTGGTGAAATATTTTGGGTTTCCTAGGTATAAAATCATATCATCTGCCAAGAGTGATCATTTAACTTACTATTTGGATACCTCTTATTTCTTTCTCTTGCCTGACAGTTCTGACTAGGACTTCCAGTACTCTGTTCGATAGGAGTGTTTTGTTTTGTTTGTTTTGAGGGGAGATCTCACTGTTGCCCATGCTGAAGTGCATTGGCATGATCCTGGCTCACCGCAGATTTGACCTCCTAGGTTCAGGTGATCCTTCCACTAGGCCTACAGGCACACACCACAACCACAAAAAATATATATATATATATTTTTTAAAGATGAGGTCTTACTATGTTGTCCAGACTGATTTCGGACTCCTGGGCTCAAGAAATCCTCTCACCTCAGCCTCCCAAATTGCTGGGATTACAAGTGTGAGCTAATGTGTCTGACCTGGAGTGGTTATTTTTATTTTTTAACTTTTACAATAAAATCTTACTAATTAATTTCTTTTTTTGCATTAACTATTACTCATTATATCCCAAACTTTCTCTCTCGTGATTCTTGCTAAAGTATATCTTCTAATAGTTTTATAGATGTCTGTAAGTGGTAAATTATTTTAATTTGTATGTCTGAATATACCCTTATTTTGTCCTTAATCTTGGATAATTTAAAAGTTAATAAAATTCTAGTTAGATATTTTCCCTCAGTACTTTAAAAATATTATCTTGATATCTTCTGTCTCTGTTACTGGTGATAAGAAGTATGCTGTCTAGCTGAGATTCCTTTGAAGTCAATGTCTTTTCTTTCTGATTGCTTTAAAGATTATTCTCTTTATCCTCCATTTTCTGAATTTTCATCCACTGTGTTGCAACAATTTAATAGGCTATGTCTTCCAACTAAAGACTCTTTTTTTTTCAATTTGATAAATTATCACCTATTACCCTTTCAATTATTGTGTATCCATAATTCCCTCTAGTCTCTTTTTCTGAGACTCCTGATGGACCTATGTTGAAGCTTCTCAATCTAACTGCCATATCTAATAATAACTCTTTCATTATTTTTACCCCTTTTGGGCTGTGTGTTATATACCTCCCTGAATACTAACATCTGATTCAGAATTTTTTTCTGATTGAGTGCAATCTAGAGTTTGCCCATTTATTGAGATTTTTAAAGATTAATTTCCAGAGTTTTCTTTTATAATCTTTCTAACAGGTTCTTTAAAAATATCTACTTGTCTTCTTGTTTCTTCCTCCGTTTTATACATTCTCCTTCAAGTTTTATTTTATTTATAACTTAAAGTAAAAAAATTAATTATAAAATTAATCTGGAGTGTATTCATGA